GGACTGTTGTCCTCCCAGGGATGTCTCTGCATATCCTGAGGACTCATTCTCCACTCACATGAGACACATCTTTTCCAGCCTCAGATGTCCTGTTTTCACAATTGAAATAGGGGCAATGTGTTACCTTTAATTACAGGCTGAGAATTAATTTCAGACAATGAAGGGTACAACAGAAACAAGCATTGGTATTTCTCAGTGGCTCTTAGCCTTTACAAAGACAACCCAAAAAGGCATCTTTTTAGTACAAAAAAAAAAAGTATTTGTAAGTGAAGATCTGTCCTTAACACTTTGCTGAAAGGCACCTCTGTGTTGCTGCCATACTTTAAAAGAAGAGTTAAGCTTTAAAATTTCAGCATATGCTTCCAAAATACCCAGATTATTATTTAGCCAGCATCTAAAACTACCTAGATTAAATATCTTGTCCATGCTAATGCTAATTTCTGCCTACATGAGGCAAAACATTGGCTTTATTTTCCCAGTAGTGAAGCAGGGAAAAGCCTGGAGTTGTCTGCCTTGACTGTATAGCCATCTTATGAGTTTCAAACCATGCTGAAGCACCCGTTGCAAAAAATACCAGGTTTAAAGAGCGGAGTGTTGCGTGTGGCAGGGACCGTTTTGCTCTGCAGAGTCTGCAGCATCAAGTGTCCTGCGCTCTGCAGTGGGCTGCATTTTAAAAGACCTTCTAAACGTTGAGGAGAGCGGGCCCTCTAGAGGCTGATGTGGCCATAGGAGCACAAGTTCAGGGTCCTACGTACCGTGCAGACACGAGAGAAAATTAGCAAGTAGTTTCTAAGTTCCAGAGCAGCAAACTAACCTCAGGCTGTGGCCGCGTGGCGGAAATTCGTTTCTCCTTGAGGTGTCCACGGGAGCTGCATCTGGGCTGGCCTTTGCTAGACTACTTCAGTATGAGTTTTGGCAAGTATGTAATGAAAATAGAAATGAGCTTGGGGTTTTCGTGCTTGTTTTGCTTTTAAAGCATGCCTCTAACTTATTTTGCTTTGAAAAACAGTCTTGGTGCAGGAGTGAGCTGAACGTTTATGTTTGTGACGTAAATAGGAAATTATCTGTAACTCGCATCTCTGAATTTCTTTTCCTTTCCCATCTTGTAGGAGAAGCTTTGAGCCACCTAAAGACCAGATAAGGTCTCCACTCTCATGATTTTTCTTATCTGCTTTTCCTGGAGCCATGGATGAATACAACCGCTTTGTGGATTGGGAGAAAATGGACGTGACTGTCCAGAGCCAAGATGCAAAGGAGCTGAGCTGCTCCGAATTCCAGGAGCTCAAGCAGCTGGCTCGGCAGGGCTACTGGGCCAAGAGCCACTCTTTGAGAGCCAAGGTGTACCACAAACTAATCAACAATATTCCGTGCCGCACGGTGACTCCGGATGCAAACGTGTACCGGGACATTGTGGTAAAGATCATCGGAAAGCGGAGCAGCAGCTCCCTTCCGCTGCCGGAGTTCGTGGATAACAGCCTGGTTCCCACTTACTGCTTGAACGCCGAAGGCATCGGGGCGGTCAGGAAGATTATCCTGTGCGTCGCAAACCAGTTCCCGGACATCTCCTTCTGTCCGGCGCTGCCCTCCGTGACAGCCCTGCTCCTGCACTACAGCAGGGACGAGGCCGAGTGCTTYGAGAAGGTTTGTCGCATCCTCGCTTGCAACGACCCCTCCAAGCGCCTCATTGACCAGACCTTCTTAGCTTTCGAGTCCTCCTGCATGACCTTTGGTGATCTGGTCAACAAGTACTGCCAGGCGGCGCACAAGCTGATGGTGGCCGTGTCTGAGGATGTCTTGGAGGTCTACTCTGACTGGCAGCGCTGGCTCTTYGGAGAGCTGCCCATGGTCTACATTGCTCGTGTCTTTGACGTGTTTCTGGTGGAGGGCTACAAGGTTCTCTACCGTGTTGCACTGGCTCTTCTGAAGTTTTTTCACAAAGTCCGAGCCGGGCAGCCCAAGGAGTCGGACAACATCCAGCAGGATATTCGGTCCTTTGTGAGAGATATTGCCAAGTCGGTCACCCCCGAGCGGCTTTTGGAAAAAGCTTTTGCAATCCGGCTCTTCTCCCGGAAGGAGATCCAGCTCCTGCAGATGGCCAACGAGAAGGCCCTACAGCAGAAGGGCATCACAGTCAAGCAGAAGAGGTAGGAGACTCCCAAATTCGGGGGTCAGAGTGACCCCCAAGGAAACGAGGCCATTAGTTGTGATTAGCTCTCGGGCAGGCCTGAGTGGTTGCTTGTATCTCTTCTAACTCTTTTGCTTTGAAGACTTGATTAGAAAAAGTGCAAAATTAAGTGTCGATGGGATTATCTCTTAAATGTGAGACTGCTTGTACAAAACTTCAATTTCATGCTGTCTAATATCTTAAATTGTGTAGTTTCTTTACTTGTAAGTAGGCAAACTTACAAACAACAGGTCCTGCCACACCTGGCAGAGTTGGTAATGCGTAGCTTTTCCTTGTTCTTAACTGCTTTTGTAAACCCACTAAAACTTCTAATAATCCCCTGGAAGATCACAGCTGTGAACTAGGCTGGATTTGGGTTTTGACATAGGCAAGAGCGAGTACCCCAGCAGTGAGATTTCTTGAACGCTCAAAAGAAAATGAGTTCCGATGTCCACATGTGCTTGGCCTATGGACAAAGATGAATAACTTCCCAGATACCTCTGCCCAGGTAGGAAAAAGGGAAAAAAAAAAAAAGGAATATTTTAACTTCTCTATTTTTTTCCCCTCTCCTTACTTTCTTGGTGATTCAAATCTAGCCTTACTCTGTGTTTCTCTCCAGGCTCTTCTCAATCACTTTGTCACGGACAAAGGAAATCACTGATCTTTTCGTGTCTTTTTTTTTTGTCTTTCTCCTTCTACGTTCTCCTTCTGTCACTTCCATACCCACTGCACCCCTCCTGATTGCAGTGTTACATCTTATAAAAGGTAGGTTAAAACACTTCAAGCTTTGCACTTGGCTCTTTTTTTATTTATTTTTCCTGTCTTTGCTTGGCTAGTTATTTTTTCCAAGGCTGTTCTTATTTCTAATGCTGGGGCGACAGAAGCAGGACAGCAATTGTAGCATCCAATTGCTGTGCAACTCTCTCTTAGACACGTTCTTGCAAAGTTAGTTCACAGCACCTGCAAAGTTGTATGATCCTGGGATTCGTGGATGGATTCAGGATTCATGGACGGGCCAGGCTAGTCAGCATAGCACTTTCATACAACCATATAGGCTTGTTTTTTGTTTTGGCATTTTTTGGTTGTTTCTCAGAATGGAGAAGTTTAGTCTTTGCAATAGAATTTAAATGACCTGTACACTGTGGAAAAAAATTTTTTTGAGAGGAATATCTCAATTAACACATAAAGTTCTCAGAAATATTAGGCACTGGCCCACATCCAGACCTGTTTTATGCTGTTGTCACCTTTTTTTCTTCTACACACTTTTCTGGTTATTTGAGAAGATACTGGACTGAACCCAATTAGGGAACCCAAACCTAAATTTGGCTTGCCTCTATCTGTACAAAATTACATTTATATTTACATAGGTACGTATTATTTTTTAAGAAGACAGACTTTATCTTTTGTGTAGCAAAGGTCAGAGTTACTCAGCCATGCAGCATTAATGGTTAATGAAGTCATTTATCAAGTTGTGCTCTGAAAAGCAAATCTTAAAGCACACAAATCAGTGGACTGTGATCCCTGATAAGCAGAGAGCCTAGAAAGAAGGAGGAACCTTGGCCTGTGAGTATTTATTAGTGCAGATGTGTGAACCTAAACTCCAGGGAGTGCCTTTGAGATGATCCTCTGGCTTCGTTGTGGGTGCCCTGAGTTAACTTTGGTGAGAGATGCGCGCTAACAGTTCCACTAACTTGTAAAATCCAAGTTGGAATTAATTTTCTCATGCTTTCATGTTCAAAAGAACATTAAGGAGCAACTTAACAGAATATGTTTCATGTCATAGTCGGCATGCTGAAGATTTTTACCTCCAGTAAATTACGTGGCTGTTAATTCCACCCAGTGAAATGTTCAAAGTCCATGTATCGCTTTACCCTTGTCGTCTAGATTCTGAAAGCAGCAGAAAGCCTGGAATTTTGAAGTAACACGCATGAATTTTAAGTAACACACAGTAGATACAGAGGGTCTGCTGACACTGCACATTTTAGCATAAAATGAGCTTTTTAGCACAAAATGAGCTTTCATGCTTAAACACCTACAACTGCGATTTATGATTGAAAAACATGTCACTTCTACCATGTTCTTCTGCCCCAACTCCAGCAACATTTCCAAAACTCAGTTTGTGGGTTTTTTGGTTTTGCATGCCCGTTTTTAGGGCTTATTTACTGCTTTTGAAAGTCAGCTGCCCCACTGAAGTAGATCTGATCTGCTGATCTCCCATCCTGTGAAGGCTGTAGGCTTGTCCAGGGTGTTAAAAGTAGAGTTTTAATAGGAAAGCTGCTGAAACGATGGATTAGAGCAAAATTTCAATAGGGAAGAGGCCTTGTTAGCCAGCCAGGAGGAGGAACAGAGACAAAGGAAAGGCTTCTGGGTGCAAATACTTAATTTTAGTGCTTAAATACATCTACTTCAACATGAAGTATGGAGTTAGCATGCAAGTGATGAGCCTGGGACCTGTTTGTCTGAAGCTTAGCAAGTATGTTTAAAACTATTTTAATAACATTTGTACTGATTTTTAGCTTATCTTTTTTATTTCCTTTCTTTTTTTCCTTCAGAAATCCACTATAATAAACTAGTTGAAAGTCTTGGCTGTGTTCGTAATTCCTCAAATGTGAGACCAATCTAATTTCTAAAAAGCCAAAACCAAGGATTTATTGCTCAGATGGGTTCCCTAGTGCTACCAGTCCATAGCTACAGACCAGTAAGGTAGGAAGGGCAGAGCCCCAGAGCAAGATCCCAGAGGAATCCGCATGGTTTTAGTTCCTGAGTGACCTAGGGAGGTGCCTCGATAGAAACGCTGACGCTGAGTCCCCTAGGGGAAATTTTAGGCAGCATTTCCCAATTTTTGCTAGCCAGCACTGCTTTATGGAGCAGTGGAAATGCTGATGACTTCTTGATAATATAATCAAGAAAAAAAAATATATATATATATATAATATTGCATGTTTTAGGGAGCAAGCTAAGCTATTCTGATGTATGCAATATTGAGGTGGTCTTTTATAGTCTGGGAAGCTGAGAAGAAGGAAATGCATGTGTCAGAAAAAAAGAATTGCTTGGCAAACACTTGTATGCTTTGCCTAGGCTGAACCCTTGGGTGGCTTGCAAAGCAGACCCTGCAAAGCTGGCTCAACTAACTACCACTCAGTACCTCTGTGTCTGGCACAACTTTGTGTTGCATTCCCACCCTGTACTTGGCTGCAAGAATTGCATTTTAAAAGGCCTTAGCATGAGTCGTGGGGGCAGGAACACCTCTTTATCTCCAGGCACTGAGTTTGTGCGTGTGTTTAAGCTGAGACGAGAACACTGCTCAAGATGTTGTAATTGTAATGTTGTCACTTTGGAGAGTTTAAAAATTAGGAGTCGACTCTCCTTGCTGGCTCTGGTACTGGCTTGCCTTTATGTCCTCTGTATTTACAAGCACAGGCTACTGTTACCACATGGAGATGTTGCTCCAGCTATTCCAGCAAAGCCAGCAACTCTCAAGGATTCTCTTAGACTCCAGTAGTTTACTTTATTCTTTAAGTAACAGCCTTTTAATTCCCTTTGAAGAGTGGTGCACACACTGGGGCCTTTCGGGATTCATCTCTCTTTGCATGTTGCTACCCAGTAACCAGAAACTGTAGGTTTTTACGTTTCCATTCAGCTCTTTTTACTCAATATTTTGCTTTGTATTTCTCAGGCAGAACGTGCACCTCGCAGTTCATGCTGAGAACTTCAAGTCTGAAATAGTGAGTGTGAAAGAGATGCGAGATATCTGGTCCTGGATCCCGGAACGCTTTGCGCTTTGCCAGCCCCTCCTGCTTTTCACCACCTTGGAACATGGCTGTAGCCTAAACAGGTAACTACAAGTTCCCTGCACCTTTTTTACTGTGAGATAAAAGAAGAGCAACTGGGCAAATGTGATGAAGGAGACATGGGTTTTCATTGCACTTCACAGAATCAGAGAATCACAGAATGGTTGAGGTTGGAAGGAACCTCTGGAGATCATCTAGTCCGAYCCCTGMTCCAGCAGGGACACCGGAGCATGGGGCACCCGGGCCCTGGTCAGCCAGAGAGCTTGTGGAGGAGACTCCACACCAATCTGGGCAGTCTTTTCCAGGGCTCTGTCACCCTCACAGTAAAGAGCTGTGGAGATGTGGAGATGCATATGGGGATGGAACCAAATAATAGCAATTGTTCAGCTCATAGTAGTGACTTTTGGTATCTGAAATTCTGTTTCTGAAGTCGGGAGGTATCTGCTGTCGCAGCTCCATGAGAAAAAACAAGGAGAACTATGGTTCTTCTATGGAAACAGGAGGCTCTTCAGACGCAGACACGGGAGTGTCCTGTCTAGTGCAAAATGCTGTAAGATGCAGCTGTTGTGATCAAGAGTCTTCTCTTCATTGTGCAGAGAACCAAATGGCAAAGGACTGCTTCATAATCTTTGTTTGCAGTCCCTGGGGTTGTGGATGGCACTCACAGATACTTAGTCTTGGGCCACTGTGGTCTTGGGCCACGGTTCATGCCATCAGCCGAGGGAGTGCCTGACACCGAGGAGGGAAAGCAGGAGCAGCAGGGGATGGTGGCCGCGGGGTGCTCACGCTGTGCTGTGCCTTACAGGTTCTACTCGCACAGTGAAGGGCACGAACCGACTCTTCTCCTCATCAAGACAACAGCAAAAGAGGTGAGCGAGGTGAAGCTGACCGACAAAATTAAATTGTAGGCAATCGCCTAATGCTATGTTGAATACACAACAGTTCATAATAAAATAGAGAAGTAAGGGGTCTTGAAATTGTGGGGTTTTTTTTTTCTTTAATGTGTGCTTTAAATTTTACAGTTTGATTACTAGACTGCACTTCCTTAGGTAAATCTTGCAAACTAGGCCTCAGCCAGTTACCCCTCCTGCTTTAAATATCTTCACCCTGTAAGTAATGTGGGATCCTGGACTGTAGTGACATTCATGGAGCTCTTGGTCAGCCTCTTACTCACAGGAACAGAAGGGAGAGGCTGTGGAAGAGTGGGAAGAAGCTCATGATGCATAGAAGATATTTTCCTCCAGCTCACACAGAAAATAGCAGATATTAAGTGATATGAATAATATTGTCCACTGGAACATGAAAACAAAATCCTCAGCGTCACCTCAKGATTGCTTAAAGGAAATGCAGTGCTAGCAGCACCCCAGATGGACTGCACACAAGTGCCTCACCTAACAAGAGCTGTTTTTCCGCTGTCTGTCCGTGACTCCTAAATRTCTTGTGGAGAGCTTAAAGCTATTAATGCGATCTGCAAGCCTGTATTTCTGCAGGTGTTCCTGCAGGATGGCTAGCCATGAAGCAGGGTCCCTTCGTCTTCCTACCAGTTCTGAATCCAAGGGCGTGGATTCACAGCTCTGTGCCAGTGGCTGATATGATGCCTGGGATACATAAAGGGGAGAGGAATAATATACAAGACATTATTTTTCCTCTTGTCTTGGAGCAGGTCACAAAGTCTAGCTTTATAAATGCTACTAGATTTTTACAGCATAGCTACAATTCTTATCCCTCAAAAAAAAAAAGAGCAGGAAAAAGGTTTTTTTTTTCCATTTTATATTTTTTAGCAGGGGAACTTTCATCCTTTATTCCAATGTTTATCATTACATTTTAGGAAAAAAAAAAATCTTGTGCTCAGGAATCTTTTGAGAATATCAGACCAAATGTAATTTTACTTACTTTCTCAGTAACAAAACTAATCCTTAGGAATTTTTGTCTTAGAGTTCTGCTTGTAAGGCTGATAGAAGCTTAGAAGAATTCTGCAAAACCTACATTATTTTATTTTTATTTTATTTTTATTTTATTTTTACTTTATTTTTATTTTTATTTTATTCTATTTTTATTTTAATTTTATTTTATTTTTATTCTATTTTTATTTTAATTTAATTTTATTTTATTTTATTTTATTTTATTGTAATGTAGGGTTGCTTTTATCTCACTCTTAGAGCTGTATTGTTTGGTCTGTCTCCATTTGGCAGTGATGGTTATTGCTGGCAGTGAGATACAGTTCTCAAGCAAACAAAGAAGCCCACAGAAAAGCTCAGTGCTGTGAGGTTAATGTTTTCTTTGTAGGGAACTAGTGGCCACTGAAGCACACGCTGTTCTGAAGCTGCTGTTTCCAGTACCTGTACTAGCTGGGCACTGCTTTAGCTAGCCAAGGTTTAACCTGCAGTTTGGAATTGGGAGAGAGACCAATGCCCAAGGCAAATGCAAGCAGAAAATGCCCAGTCAACAGTGCTGACCTTTCAGCCTGGGACAATCCTGCTGCTTCCAATGCAAGAAAAGGAGGAGGTGGAAGTCAGGCTTTACAAATTTGGAGTGATCTGTATTTTGGTAGCTGGGGTTATGTTGGGCTGCGCCTCTTTTTAGGCCTGAGAGGTGTGCAGTCGTTCTTGACACTCTTCATATTTGAAGAGGATTCCCTCTTCAAAGGTAGTTTAAATGTATTTTTAGATATAAGTACTTGTGCTGCTTTAATCCACTGACCTGGAGATTTGGAAAATCAAACTAAATAGAGCTGTTCTGGACTCTAAAATGGTGGTGCCGTTTAACATACTATGGTTTAACATTCTTTCCTCCTAAATTTGCTGTTTGTGCCAGGTCTGCGGGGCTTTTCTGTCMACTGATTGGAGCGAGCGCAGGCGAGGAGGGAACAAGCTGAGTTTCTTTGGGACAGGGGAGTGCTTTGTGTTTAGGGTGAGTAAAATTTCATTTTTCACTGTCCCAAATACTGATGTGAGTAACAACTCGCACCTGCCTTCTACTGAGCTGGGTTATATGCCCTTCTGGTTTTAAAGTCTGCTGAACTCTTAATTACATCTGGAGGGAAAAATTGACTTTTCAATTCTGGGATGAGCCTTTTTTCATCCAAAAGTGCAGAGCATTTTCTTACAGGAAAGGTAACTTGGAAACCATGGAGTCATCGCTTCGGCCACCTGGAAGGCAAAGGGATAAAGGAAGAAAGTAAAATCTACCCTAAAAGATAAAATGGTCTAATCTTTACTGCTAATGGTGTGTTTGGAGTCTGGGGGGTTTTAATGCCAATTCTGAAGCAGAGCTCTCGATATTGCAAATATTCACTAACTACATGTTTACTCTTCTATTCCCTTATATAGCTACAGCCTGAAGTGGAACGCTATGAATGGGTGATAATAAAACATCCCGAACTAGCCATGAGTGTTTCCGAGCCGGAAAATCATGCTTCCGGGTCTTCCAGTACTCTTTCCTCGCATACTGTCCCAGAAGATCCCTCGGATCGCCTTTCTCCCTTCTTATCTGCTCGGCACTTCAACTTGCCTTCCAAAACAGCCTCCATGTTCATGGCTGGCAGCAGCGAATGCATCATTATAGGTAAGTCAGTGCTTGAATGTGGACGTCTATCCCACCTGCTCTTCCTGTCAGCTACAGTAAGAGATTCAGCTGTATTTGGCATATGTTTGTTCAATATTGCTACAGTCTCTGCAAGAAAACAGCTAAGACCTGTTATTACCCAATAGGAAATTTGCACATCAAGCACTTTAGAATAAGCACTTCAGCATGGCTCTAAGCATAGCGACACCTTCATCCTGCCTAATTTACAGTGAGAAATAACTCCGGAAGAGGAACTTACTTGGCATGGAGTTTTTTTTCTACAGGGTAAACTACACACATACACATTCATTCTTTTGGAACTGTTTTGGATCTGTGATGCTGTAGACCAGAAGCTTGCCCAGTAAAGTAGTCTCCTAAATGGGATTTACAGGAGAGCTGTGGATCTGTAGTTGTCCTTGATACTTGCTAGGAGAGCCAGTGGAGCAGTGATTTCTGTTGTAATAACAGGTACCTGCTGATTCTCACTTAGCAGCAGGTACTTTAAACCACCACGAGCTGGACGGCTCCAGAATCAGCTCGGCCGCTCAAGGCAAGGGCATGTATGTGCCTGAATTGTAAGTCACTAACAATGATGTATTGCAGATTGTTTTGGAGATTTTTATTGTTTATTAAAGGTAGCAATAAGAGAAATAGGCTTGGGCAGTAGATTTGTACCAATTACTATTGTATACAATTTCACCTGTAGACCAGAATTTCTATTCTTTTGATTYATCTGGTATTTTCTGTTGCTGTTCCCTGCATTCTCTGACTCTAAGCTCTGTGATTCTTGGCAGAAATAATCCAAGTGCTGTTAACAATGTGATGTGGATTTTTTTTTAATGATTTAGAAGACCAAGCAAGTGCTTTTACTGATGTGTCCTGTTTTTCTCACAGGTTGGATTTGCTTGCTAGATTTCATGAGTTTCTTTACTGTAGTGAAAATATGTGAGTGATAGCTGGATCTTCTGGCACTGAAACATCTTAAAGTCGAGCATTTGACTTCTTGGTCTTACTGACTTGCAATTATTTCCTGTTCTGATAGTTTTATTTGAAAGCTATGTATATGAGCAGAATACTGTTTGCACCTGAAGACAGTAAACGAACATCATAAAATTTCCCTTTTTTAGCTTCCTAACATGTTTTTTCACTYCTTTGCAGGAGGTGGTGATGGCCAGGCCCTCTACCTTGATGCAGATCTGAACCATGGAAGGACAAGTCACTGCGATACTTTCAATAATCAGCCACTGTGCTCTGAAAGTTTCCAGATCTCTGTCCTGGAGGTGTGGGGCTTCAGGGACACCATGAATGGCTGATACGACTATCAACAAACAACTAGTTTTTCAGGTGTCTTAGGACTCCCAAGACAAATTCTAATGCAGGAGCCAGGTTAGGATGTAATTTCCACTGGGCTCAGTATTGTTTAGTAATTACTAAGCTGCACACTTGAATGCAGGGCTTAGTTGTTTACTCTTTTATTTAAGACAGGTCAAAGATGAAGTAGTGCATCTGGTTAACTCCTTAGCTCTTTACCTCTGCAGATCTGGACTCAGATCTTGATCCTGGATAAAAATGGAACTGTAATTATCTCAAACCATCCTAAATGGACACAAATCCATATCATAGTGTAACTTTGCAGTTCAATGCAAGTCCTCAGAGGCACRGAGCTTGCTGAGGTGTACTGTAGAGCTGTGTGCCCCTGGCACCAGTGTCTGGCTGGCATGAGCCAGCAACACCAAATTTTCACTCACAAGAGCATTGAAAATCCCAGATATCACAAAAGGCACTGCAAAAATCACTGCCCTACTGTAGATGGACTTGTGCAAACAAATTGTAAGTTAATATCAGTACCGTTTCRTGAGTAAGCTCTGAAAGCATTCAGTTCAGAAAAGAAACCATGGTTGCTGAATACCCTTCTGCTAGTAGCTCAACCCTTGGCACATTCCAATTGCATCTGCTTGAGGAGTTKGCCTCTAAGAAGAAGGCATCTGAACCGGACAAGGATATCTCAGAGGGTTAATTTTGTTTACATTCCTATTCCATATCAGTATAATGACTTCAGACTGATTCTTGTTTCAGCTGAAACCCAGTAGCTCAGACACTTCCCTTTCTTCATCTTTCCTGGAAGACAAAACAGACTTCAAATGTGAGAATAACAGCTGTGCTGATAGCAGTAAATTAGCCATTGGGGGAATTAGTCATTGGGATACAAAAATAATGCAATATCCACAAGTAAATGGAGGGAGGTGAAAGAAGCATCTTCTGAGTAATACTGTTCTGGGAGAGGACTCRTTTTCCAAGGGAAACTCTAGGTGACACTATTTCTCCCATGTGAGTCTTCCCAGTGATGACAGTCTTGAAAAAGGGAACATTCCTGCCTAGGGTAACTTCTGGTAGAGCTTGGAGGAGGCAGAGAGGTTGTTTTTCATTCCTGAGAACCTGTGCAGTTCTCTTGTGCAGGCCTGCTTTGTCCTCTGTGCTAACTGAGCGTGGTTCTCCAGCATCTGTCTCTAAAACTTGCTGTGTCTGGCTGTGCAACTTCTCCCAYGTGAAGCATAAACATCCAGTCGATRGTCCAGAGTGTAACACTGAAAGCTTCCAAAACTTCAGTGCATGGCTCAATAGTAAAAAGATTTGCCCCTATAGATGAAATAAGGGTAAAGAGATTTTTTTTTCAGCAATTCAATTTAAACAATTGCACTAGAGTGGGGCAATACTATTTCTGCTTAAACGTCAAGCTTATAAAAGGGGCTTAAAAAGAAGCTTAAAAATTTTGGTGATAAAATCTCAGCTAGGTTGGACAGGGCCAGGTTAATATTCAGTCATCACAGGTAAGTTTAATTGATAACTTGTTCAGGTTGCCAGCAAAAAAAAAACGTGTCATGGTACACTTGCTTCTTGGAAAGCATATGAACAAATCTGGAATTTCTTTGTCAGGTGCCATTCTGAAAAAAAAAAATCCAAACTAACTGCTTGAAATATTGGGCTATATGTGCAATTTTTTTAGATGTATTTTGCACTATTTACGTTTGCAATTAGGTTATTTCGCAGTACCTGAAAGTCAGCACTGACCTCCCTTTCTTCTTGTTTGCCACTCGGTGAGTTCTGGCCAGTTGTTGCTTGCTTTTGTTATAGGTTTACCATGAGTGTTTAATTGAACTGGAAGGTTTGATATAATTCACTTACACCAACAAATACCAGCACAAATCTCCTTCCACAGTCATATCTTGTTTCTACAAACACCCTGCCTGATGGTGCCTTCTACTACTGTTCCCAAACCAGCTGTATCACTACAGATAGGTGCTGGCATCTCGTGAGCTCCCTCAAACAGAATCATGCAAAATATATCCCATTTATCTCTTAAATGTAGTGGGATCTCTTATGTAAAGGTGGGGTTTTGGGGTTTTTTTTTTTTCCTTCTTCTCATATCTCCTCTCTTTGGAGCATGCTTATAAGTTTACCTTACCACCACCACCAAAAAAAAAAAAAAGCAAGGAGAGAGGGAAGAAATGAAAAAAAAACAGCATTAACTTTCAGTTTGTTGTCAGATTTCCTTGAGCTGGGTGTTGGCAGGATTTGTGGGACTTGAGTATGATATTCATATACAACTAATTGCTTTTATCTGCACGGTCTTTCTGCAGTGGGCAGGGGTGTTGTGGTTTCTCTGTCCCCATCCCTACAGTAATGCAATTGTATGCAATTACATCAGGGAAACTTGAATACTTGCAGCCTTTCTTAAGCCATATCTGAAAAACCACTGCTCCTTTCTGTTCCTACTAGACAGAAAACTGGATGTTTGAGCTCAGAGATCAGTCAGAGTTGGTCACAAATTCATCATGAGGGATTAGTCTGAGAATTCAGGGAGATCAGTGAGATTTAGACCTCTGTGTSTCTGGGACCTCTTTGAAAAGTCAACCACGAGCCTTTGCCCAGATCCTGTTGTCAGAATGCAGCTTCTGACCAGCTTCTGGCAGTGAAGAACCCCAAGCAAGCCCTTTTAGCTGGCTTATCTCAGTGGCCAAATGCAGTCCTTTTGCACAGGACTAAGGGTAAATCTCTTATTTTTGAGTCTGGAAGGAACATATCACATTTGGTGGCAACAGTTGGTGGTTGGGAGTGTCTTAACAGTTGGTCTCTGTCTGGGCATTTGCGGTTGCAAGGGARGGTACCTGGAGCAAACATTTTCCCCCTGGAACAATTCGAGCTGTGACCTATGAGAGTTTTTTAAATCATTGCAGGGCTGGACACTATTTCAAACAAGTAATTGGGGAAATAGGTGGTCCTCCTTCTATTGACAATTCAATTTATATCAGTATTAAGAGGTATATGTTGTAGCAGTAGTCTTAGTTCGCTGTAGCATTGTCTTCCTGCAAGACTGGTGTAGTTGACTTGTTCTTAGTCTGCATAGTCTAAATACACACCAAGCTGCAGTAATTTAGCAAGAGGAATTACACAAAGCTGTGTCATCCTCATGAGTTCCTGTGCTCAGTATAAATGAGTGTTCCTTTTCATGTGCAAATCTTCATGAATAATTCTCTTTGTGGTATTGAGACAACATAGACGAACAGCATTGTGACTTGTTTTCCTTTTCCAATAGCAAAAGAGGCATTTTCTGTCTGTGTAGTTAAAGCTGTTAACCAGTTGTATATCAAAGTTCATGTATCAAGCCAATGGTTTGTGTGCTACATGCAGAACTCTTCTAATTGAGATACCAGAGTGGTTTTTCAGACAGGTGCAATGTGCATTTTATCCGGATATTGAAATTACAGGAAATACCCACCCGTGGAGTACCGTGATTGCATTAAAACTCTGCACAAGCCTGGATGGGCCCTCCCTCCYCTTTCAGCCCTGCTGCTGGGAATGACCATGTGCTGAAATAGCGTAAAGCCAAAGAGCTAAACACTGAGCATCACCTGTATTTTTGAAGAGCATTTTTGCTTTCCTGGAGAGCTATAATATTTGCTTTGTAATATTCTCTTGGACAATCAAGTAAGGCAGAAAAGGATTGCATCTCTTGGTGTCAGAAATCAGAATTTATTTTAAATGGCAATTAAGTTATCTCCAGGCCACAGGAACTATATCTAACTCTTAGCCAAAGTGGCTAGGTTTTATCACTAGACCAGGTATCATTCYTGCAAGTCATGCACCTTAAAGCATCATTTTTTTTTCTGATGAAATAAGTTAAATGGAGAGGGAGGGAAAACCTTTATTTTCTCTGTCACAAGAAAAGAGAAGGCAGATTGGGGGTGAGAGTTAACCTTAACACCAGTGGAAGTCTGTTTGGCTGTATTAGTCTCCTGCTGTTTTGCGTGTGTGCATTGAAGCTGTGTACCCTGTGCATCAAATCCATATGGAATTTCAATGGGATGTGAGCYTACRCTGCCTGCAGACTGTGCAGCGGCCAGGGCAGTGCCGGTGCCACGGGAACCAAGGACAGCTCTGGCACTGGAAGAGCTCMGTTGCTGCAACCAACACCTGGGTTCAGTCTGACGAGCAGACCAGAGGCTCCGGCACCCGGCTGTGGACATAGGAGATGGTTTTTTTGCCAGCCCTGTCTTTGTGATGAGTTTTGTACTAAACTATTCATGGTCGATATGAATGTGCAGATTATTTGGAGTAATGATGTTCTCCAGATGAGTAATGGCGTGGTGCTGAATTTTCTACTGTTTGCTTGGGATTGCTGCCCTACTTTGATTCTATTTTTGTCACTCTGTATATTGGATTGTATTAAAAGATGTTTGACTGTGAAGGCTGCGGACTTCATCCTTCAGCAAAGCGCAGAGTGTTGCCRTCATGAAGACCTCATAGCAAGGGACGCAGGTAACACGAGAAATAAGACCTCATGAATGTGTTCTCTCTCCTGGGRACCTTTCTGTAGAATGAAGCGCAGAGCAGTGATTAAGCAGCTTCTCAGCACTTGGTCACATCTCACAAGATTGCCACCACAATCGGGTGCCAAAACGCCTCCAAGGTTTAGATCGGTGGATTCAGAAATGAGGTTCAAAGCAGCCTTCCTTGTGGAGGAACGGCCAGAAAATGCCCTTTACCCTGACCCAATCTGCAGTTAAAATCAAGCTTGGCTTCTAATCATCAACAGCTGTGTTTCTTAGCTGAGTTCCTATAAGTTTGTGTAATTCTTGTTGGTACGGTTAGAAGATATCAAGATATTCTGCAAGCAAAATAACCCTGGAAAGCCCACAAGCAATAACCAATGAAGTAGAAAGGTTCAGTATAGAGTTTCCAGGGGAATTCTCCTAAAAAGCTCAGTTTAGGTACCTTATACCCGCCACAGGGCCTTCTGTTCTCCAGTACGTGTTTCTGAGAGCAAAGCTGTGCTCTAGCRTGGTGCAGGGTGGCAAAGAGGCTGTGCTGAGCTGGCAGATGCAGCKCACACACGTTTTGTGGTGGCTGTCCTCATTGCAACAGCAGGGGAAGTTGGGTTGCTGTAAAGAAAGCCTGCAGCCACTAGAGGTTACCCTTGGCCTGATACTCAAGCAAGAGGATCTGCTGCCTCTCTCCATTACAAGTAACATTTTTACAAGCCTAAAGTCTTAAAATTTAGTAAACTTAGTATTTGTTGTTTTCTCTTAAAACATAGAGSCAGGGAAAGAGTATGAAAGTAGGTCTTCTTGTGCTATGCGTGGTTTTATAAAAGTGATCCTAGCCTTAAATACTGTAAGCCCCAATTTTAAAGCTCCTTTAGGAGAGAAGCGCAGTTAAAGCAAGTGATGAGGGCGCTCGGTGCCTGGAAAAGGTAGTTGAGCACTCCCAAGAACTGAAGCACTGCTTGCCCTGGCTTTCRAGCCTTTACAGATGCTTTTTACCTCTGTGACTTGAGCTCTGAACAGGAGGGTCTGCGTTTGGTTGCATCAAGCGGTGGGAGCTCTTCGTCCTGCCTGGAGCGATGGTTAGGGGTGACGTCGCGCAGGAGCGAAGGGTTCCGAAGAGTGACGTTGGAGGCCTTGTAGCTCCTCCGAAAGAAAAGCTGCCCCTTGCCTTGCCAGCCCGCTGCAATTTGAGCAGTTTGCACATTTTCTTAGCTCACCCCGAGGTTTTCCATGCGCTGTCACGCAGTAGACATGACACCAGTGCCTGCTTTCACTGGGAGAAACAATGCTATGAGCAGATGTGATAATACTGCTTCTGCTAGAGAGAAAGGTGCTTTTCAGGCACCACATGGGGTGTTTTCAGCCCTGCCTAGACAGATTCTGCTTCCAAGCACCACCCTGGCTTGTGCCACCTCTGACTAAGCAGCTGAGAGGGCCGAAGCTCAACTGCCTCCCCACTGTTTCCTCTGGGGGTCTTGGCCTGCTCTGACCCTTGGTCTTCCACCCGCCTCAGGGGCTGATATATTTGAAGAAGCTCTTGTTATTTTTAACATCTCTAGCCAGATTTTGTTCCAAACGTGCCTTAGCTTTCCTTGTCGCATCCCTGCATTCCCTGACAATGTTCCTGTATTTTTCCCAAGGCGCCTGTGCTTTCTTCCACATTCTGTGTACTGCTTTCTTCTGCTTAAGTTTTGCCAGGAGTTCYCCGCGCATCCATGCAGGCCTTCTGCCCCCCTGCCTGACTTTTTACTCATAGGGATGCACCGTTGCTGAGCGTGGAGGAAGTGTTGCTTGAAAACTGACCATCTCTCTTGGCCTCCCCTTCCTTCAGGGGCCCTAGAATGATGAGGCCAAGACCAGTGGCACAGCCAGTTGTTAATCTGAAATATTCGCCTTCTCCTTGAATCCATTCCCCTCGTTGGCAAGCTAGAGGAGAACATAATTGGGGCTTCCAGACCTTTCATGACCATACCTAGGGCTCTGAAATCTTGTTTGATGTTGCTCAATTCCTCACGACGTCATTAGTGCCCACATGAAACAGTAATGGGATAAGTCAGGCACGGACTTGACTGCCTCTCTGTARACAAACCCCCTAGATAGGCCTTGGTCTGTGACCTCATTTGTCTGATCTTCTAGTTCTAGGGCCTCATGCCTGTTGAATGCGATCACTTCTGGGGGTGAGGTGGACCAGGGAAGGGTTGGTTCTCCTGACACCTCTGACAGGGACCCGTTTCCATCGTTGTACCTCACTTACT